GGGGAATCCTGGGAGTTGAAGTCCACACATCTTAAAGTTGCCCAGGTTGAGAAACACTGCTCTAAAGAATAGGTAGCATGGACATTGATTTGTGAAATGTAATTATTCGAATCAATTGAAGCTGGTCCAGTAATGCTGGGAAAGATTTAAAAAAAAAACTAGGCAACTTTAAGCCAATTTTTACAAGGATACAGCACTTGCATGGTTAATGCCCACGAAGACGGCAATACATCGCATTACGCTTGCCCATTCGCGTTTGAATTTGTGAGGTTCACCAAGATGGCTGTCAATGCAGGGATAGAGTAGACCAATAACAGCTGTAAACAGAAGAGGAGAAGAATGAGATGGTTAAATTGTTTAGTTATTACTTCTAAGTTACAGTTCATTTTCCTCTCTTCAGCAAATAGCAAAGCCTATTTTTCATCTTCTGACTTCTATTAATTATATTTAAGAAACTGCCTCAAACTGCCTCATGCATAAGGTTGCAGAGGAAGCAGCAGTAGTTTTAAAAAATAACATTTACAATGCTGGGCTGATAACCTGGAATCTTCACTTCGGGTTCCCAGAGGACAATGATTCCTTGTGACTAGTAATCAGGTAAAAAGTAGGCAGAAATGGCCACTCTCTATGACCTGCCTACTACAAAAAGGAGTACTTGACAATTTCTAGAAAGTGCCCAGGTATAAATATTTATATAAACCTTAGCACTCTAAAGGAATCTCTCTTTCTAGATACAATGCTTGTATTAAAATGAAAGACTGTTGAAGATTTTTAGCCACGAGTGGAACCAACATAAAGTTTACAACTTTGAAAATACTGTAAATATTGTAAGTATTCATATGGAGTCTTTAACTAAGAATCCAGCATTTCTTCTGACTCTTTAATCCAGATATCCCACATAGATTAAATAAATACATAAATAAATACACAAATAAATCTTCTTCCACTTGGGGAAATTTCTTTTCTGAAGGGTTTATGCAAATAGAAAGAATGCAGACATTTAACTTTTAATTATAGCATTTATATATTATTTTGTCAATGACAGGTTCCTCAAGCTATCCATTTAATAGGTACCTCCTGCTGAAACAGGCTGCCTTCTGAAGCAATCAACAATTACTTTTACAAATAATACTTATTGGAGTAAGTTATAAGAACGCCTCTCTAAGGCTCAAAGTCTCTGTGATTTGATTCTTAGCTACTGTAAAATGTAGAAATTCACTTCCCCCATATGGAAAATCACATGAAGTGTTTTCAGATCAGCATGAGGACCAGCTGAAAATGCCCTGGTCATCTCCATGCCAATCCTACAAGTTCCATGCAACAACTAACTCTACACTTCCTTTTGCCTGATTTATTTTACAGCCTATGGTGTAGTGGTAAAAAATCCCATCTCTTTTTGTGAAATAAAAGCAAGTTTCTTTTTGCCATCTGGACTTGCTGGAAAGAGACTGTAAGCCTGATGCCATACTTGGCCCTGGAACCAAAGGGACAGCTGTGTGCAATCTTGTGTCAACAACAGCTCTGTTAAATACTAAGACTTGAACCCTGATGTCTGAAGATACCTTCTGGAACAGACAACCATCAAAAGGGATTAGCTTACCCAGTTGAAGAAGAATTACAGTAATTGAGCTTTGGGCTTTTCCTTGTACTTTGTAATAAAAAAAAGGCCCATCTTTTGTGAGCATCTTGCTAGGAACTGAAGCTGCTCTTAAAACAGGCACCAAGCCAAGTCTCAGTTCCCCTCCTCTGCTGTCACAACATGTGACTTCCTTGTTTTTGATTGAGTATGTGGCATGTTCAGGCTGACAACCAATAGGAACAGGAGCACGCGACTCACCAGTTTCCACTGTGAACCAATTATATAGCCAAGAGTAATGATGAATCATGCCAGCTCCTGTGTTAAAAACTTGCCAGCAATAATAACTAGAGGAAACTCTTCTGCTTCCAGGATGAGGAATAATGCCAACTCTCAAAGATTGGCAGTCCAGGAAGAAGGAAACAGGCTGCACTGCTAAAGGCTGCTATTTTCTTACTTCTGATCTGGGTGTTCTCCCTGTGAGCTCAAATGTATCCCTATTGATATCGAATCGCATCAACGACATACGTAACTTTCTAAATGCCGTTCTGGGCACCTATTTGGCTCAGCAACGAGAAAAAAATGCTGTTAAAGCAAATAAGCAAGAAAATAACATACACAGTCCTGGGCAACTAACTCATCTTGGAGAAACAACAATGGGAAACGCCAACCCTTTATTTGAAAAGCTCCCCGCTCAATCCTGCTCTAACCCCGTGACTCACCTGCTGCTGTCCCACAGCAAGGGGGCACCCACCAGGCAGAGGAGAAGATCGTAGAGATGACTTCCTCAGGGAACAGCGTTACGTTCCTCTGGATCTGCAATAAGTTCAGCACCAGAGCAAGAAAAGTGCCCACCACGAAAAGCACCAGGCTGCGCTGCACTAAGTCCCTGCTTAAGTTCAAGCTGCTACCAGGGCTGCTGTCACTGTTCGAGCTGCTCGGGTGCCGCGCTGTGTGACCCACCAAGGTCAGGGGAGAACTGGAAACAGATGAACTTAGCATTTCACCCACTTTGGCTGCCAGCCCTGTTGCAGTTCCACCGAGGTGACCCTTGTATCTTCCCCTGGCTGTGCAGGAACAACTCCAGGTATGATTCTCTGGTTGGGGCACAGGGTTCTCCATCAGGTTCCTGAAAGAGGCATCAAGGTGTTACAGCATCAAGAATACTCGGAGAGCTCTCAAGCCTGCTATCTGTATAAATCTTGATGGTTCATATTTCTCTAATTAACCGAAGGCCCAATAAAATTCCTTTGACAGCATCAGCATGGCACAGGACCTAAGAGAATGACCTGAAATGTCACTATTGAATGATCCTTAGATATGACCTTAAATAAGGAATTTTCTCCTTACCTTTAACAAAAAAACAAACATACAAACCTTCCCCACAAGTCTTGGCCTACCTAACTGCATTGTTATAAGGTGTTTCACATCCATAATTCTTACAGTGGAAATGAGGCAGTAATGCTGAGTATTATTACCAGCATACAGAACTAGGGTTCCATTAAAATGGCTCCTTAGCCAAGCATATTTGCAAAATCATTTGACTTCTTTATCTCACAAAGCTGTTGTCAAGCAAACCTTGCTTTGAAATTTTTAGAACAGCAGGATAAAAACATTAAATCGTTATTTGCATTGTTTCAAGGAATATATAATCCCACAGAGGTTCTACAGAGAAAATGTATCTAAAATTCCAAACACAAACATTGACGTCAGCAGCATGTAATTTTATATATCATGATGTCAAAGCAGTAAGGGTTTTCTAGGGATAAAATATAGTCCTTTAAACTTTTGATTGACTGATTAAGTGCCAACAAGTTGGGGACCACATAGATAGACCTTCTCCAGGAGGATCTGGTCCTTCAGATCTTCCAATGGTGCACTCATTGCCACTACAACTGAGTCCATCCACCTTGCTGCTGGTCGTCCTCTTCTTCTCTTTCTCTCCACCTTTCCCAGCATTACAGACTTCTCAAGTGAGCTGGATCTTCACATCATGTGTCCAAAGTAGGATAATTTGAGCCTGATCATTTTTGCCTCAAGTGAGAACTCTGGGCAAATTTGTTCTACGATCCATTTCTTTTCTTGGCTGTCCATGGTATTCTCAGGAATCTTCTCCAACACCAAAATTCAAAAGTATCCACATTCTTTCTATCCTGCTTCTTCATGGTTCAACTTCTATGAGGTGTGACAGGAACAACCACTGCCTACGTGATTCTGATTTTTATAGTTATAGACCCTTTAAGCTTTACTAAGTATTAAACATGTAACATCAAATTGTCCTAATGCCAGTAAAATGGGAATGTTTTAAGTAACAGTTTTCAAATACTTAGAGCCCATAATCTAAAAGTTCCCATTTTATGTTGGTTATTAATCTGCTCCTTCTTTTCCTCTTCAGAATAGGGCAGACTTTGTAATAAGATGGCAAACTAGTGGTATCTATTCAGTGCTAGTACTATAAGAAAAAGGCTGCCTCTTGAGAGATCTTAGTGAAGGCCACTGGATCTGGTTGCAGAATCCATTCTGCTCTATGGACAGAACCATCAGCCTGACATCTGACTCCACCATATTCTCCTGCCAGAGAGGGGGGGGGGGGGAATAAAACAAATGTCCCTCCAAGTCAGATCAGTGTGCTTTCTCAAGACTTCATCAACGTAAGCAAGTGACTTTGGAAAAAGCTAAAGAGAGTCATCATGGGTACTTGGATGGGAGACCACCAGGAGAAGCCAAGGCCACAGGCCAGCTTGGGAAGCTGAATAAATATCCCTGAGGGCAATGGCAAGCCACTTCCATGTTGTTGCCAAGAAAATGACATGGGCACGTCAAGGAAGTCACAAGGAGTTGAGCTTAACTCAAGGGAGTAGCTATGTTTTTACCTGACCTGTAATTGATACTTCCTTTCCCATTTTTCTCCCTCCAGCATTTAACTGCATTTGGAGGAAGCTTAAAGCCTCCGCTGCCATTTCTCTTGATCCTACTTAGCCCTACAACTGCTGCCTGCAAGCAGTCATGCAGAGAATAAGCCAACAAGATGTTAACCAAGCGTGGTGTGTAGGTGTGAGGCACTTAACCCTCCCAGCTGCCTATTGCAAGGGGGGGGGGAGTTTAAAAAAGAGAGCAGAGAACCGCTGCAAAGAGCCACCAAGTGAATCCAACCCAAAGGTCCATATCTCTCCCCCCCCCCCAAAGGCCAACTGGATCTTCTTACATGCTAGTTTTCTCCAACCAGATCAGTCGGGAAGGACAGCTCTTCTTAACCCCCCTGGCCCCGGCCGTCCAACGCACCTGGAGAGCGCCCAGGTGGAGGAGGCTGATTTGCTGCAAAAGGCTAGAGAACCGGGGCTGCCTCCTCTCAGCAGCTTCGAGGGCGAGGGGCTCTAAGAGCCCACCAGGCAGGGCGCGG